AGACCTCTCCGGGCCAAGGCTCTGTAGCTCACAAGCGTGTCTGAGACCGTTAGCACTGTAACCTCTGGGGCTGAGCCCGCTACCTGCCCTCATGGGGACCTTCCTGCTGGGTGCCGGGTGCCAAACGCTGCTCGTGGGGTTGGGGTGCCGCCTGCTGTACCCCCTTCCTCTGCCCGGCCGCGGCCCCAGGGCACAGGCTGCACCCCACGCTCGCTGCTGCTGGCAGGCGCCCCGCAGGGCTGGGCCCCGTACAGGCACTTTCCTTGGGTTTGTATAGGTTTTATGGGCACCATTAAATGATGACAGGACGGGAGCGCCTTTCCGTGTCGTCACTGTCCCGTCAGGAGCTGCCTGAACGCTCTCTGCCCTGTGCGGGGGGGCTGTGGCCGCAGCCCCCGCGGGGGGTGGAGTAGGTGGGTCATTGCCCCAGGGGCTGCTGGAGGGGGTGCTTTCTCACAGGGGTGAATGTCACTCTGTCTCCTGTCACCTTCCTGGGACAGCTCTGTGTCCCCCAGCCGGTGCTGGCTCCCGCAGGGCTGTGCTTTTCCCCCTCCTCACTGCGGCGGTGCATTGGGCAGCAGCAGCCCGGCCAGGCACACTGGTCCTGCTGGGGTGTCTGCAGGGACTGTCCCCGTTCGTTAGTGACATGGACGGTGGGATGGAGTGCACCCTCAGCAAGTTTGCCCATGACACCAAGCTGTGTGGAGCGGTCAACACGCTGGAGGGGAGGGAATGCCATCCAGAAGGACCTGGACAGGCTGGAGAGGTGGTTCAACAAGGCCAAGTACGAGGTCCTACGTCTGGGTCAGGGCAATCCTAAGCACAAATCCAGGCTGGGCAGACAATAGATCGAGAGCAGCCCTGAGAAGGATCTGGGGGTGCTGATTGATGAGAAGCTCAACATGAGCCAGCGATGTGCAATCGCAGCCCAGAAAGCCAACTGTATCCCGGGCTGCATCCCCAGCAGCGTGGCCAGCAGGGCGAGGGGGGGATTGTGCCCCTCTGCTGTGCTCTGCTCTGGGGAGACCCCCCTGCAGTGCTGCCTCCAGCTCGGGGGCCTCAGCACAGGAGAGACGTGGACCTGGTGGAGCAGGGCCAGAGGAGGCCCCGGAGATGCTGGGAGGGCTGGAGCCC